CCCCCCCCCGCCGCCGCCGCCGCCTCACTCACAGAACTCGGCGATGTAGGAGGAAACGACGTAGTTCTCCTCGCACCAGTCGAGGGTGGACGTCGGCGGGCCCCAGTAGCCGGCGCGGTCGCCGGCGGGAGCCATGGCCGGTCGGAGGGCCGAGCGAGGAGGAAAGGAAGCGCCCGCCGCCGCATCCGCTCTTCTTCGGGGACCTTCGGGCCAGCTGACCCCGCCTTCCCGCCGGCTTGAGGCGGGGCGGCGGCGGCGGCGGCGGCTGCGGCGGAGGCCCGCCTGCTAGGCCTGGCGGGCAGGGCCTCTGGGTTGCCATGGCGACCGGAGGGCGAACCGACCGCAAGGCTTGCCGGGCCGGGGCTCCAACGTCGCCATGGCGACCGGCGAGCCAACCGCCCGCGAGACTTGCCGGGTGGGGGCTCTACGTTGCCACGGCGACCGGAGAGCCAACCGCCCGCGAGGCTTGCCGGGCCGGGGGCTCTACGTTGCTATAGCGACCTCCGGGCGTTCTATTTCCCCGCTGGGTCCCTGAGGCTGGGCCTCACAGGCATCCCAAGATGCTAGCCCTCATGGAGGTCAGGGAAAGGTCCCAGAATGCTGGCTGGGGGGGATTCCGGGAGCGGAAGTCTAAGCCTCTTGAAATTGCCAAGGTTGAGAAAGATTGAACCTAGGGTACCAATGAGATGCAGGAGTGAATAAAACTTTATTTTTTGGGTCAGATATTTTTTGAAAGAAAGAAATTGGTGATATATCTAGATTCTAGAAGACTCAGGAAGCAGGTGGGGAAATGTGGAAGAGTAAGCCTCACATCTGAAATAGCAGTAAATGAATATACAGGTAGTCCTCGACTCACAATAGTTCATTTAGTGACTGTTCAAAAGGCACTAAAAAAATTGACACGATCTGATTTCGCACTTGCAGCCTTTGTAACATCCCGATTGTGTGATCAAAATTCAGATGCTAGGCAATTGGTTCATAATTAGGGCTGTTGCTGTGTCCCAAGGTCCTGTGATCACCTTTTGCAACTTTATTATTTTATTCTAAACCAACCAAACAAAATGCAATAACGTACATTCAGCCCTAACCACAACAAAAAGAAAGATAAAAAAATTGTGAACGAAAAAGGAGGAAAAAGGGGTCAATTAAATTTAACATTTGACATGCAGGATCCGCCTTGGCTGAGTGCCGAAAGAAAAGAAAAAAAAACCAATAAATTCTCTCCTTTTAACAAATGTATGCATACAGGCAGTCCTCGACTTATAACCACAATGGAGCCCGGAATTTATGTTGCTAAGTGAGAAATTTGTGAAGTGAGTTCTGCCCCACTTTACGATTTTTCTTGCCACATTTGTTAAGTGAATCACTGCAGTTGTTAAATGAGTAACACGGTTGTTAAGCGAATCCGGCTTCCCCCATTGACTTTGCTTGTCAGAAGGTCGCAAAAGGGGATCACGTGCAACCGTCGTAAATATGAGCCAGTTGTCAAGCATCTGAATGTAAATCACGTGATCGTGGGGATGCTGCAACGGTCATAAGTGTGAAAAATGGTCATAAGTCACTTTTTTCATAACTTTGAACGATCACTAAGTAAGTAGAGAATTACCTGTATATAAAATAAAATAAAAAAAGAAGAAATAGCAGTCAGGAGGTTGAGCTAAGCATTGCACTAATCCTCAAATCCTTCTGTTAATCACCTGTTATTATATTTAGTGCGTAGAAAATCCACAAACGGTTTCCAGTCTCTTATATAGTTGTCTAGTCCATTATCTGTAATCAAAGCGGTTAGTTTCGCTATCTCTGTTAAATTCAGTCAATTTCAAAATCCATTCTTCAATGGTCGGCCTCTCTTTTTCTTTCCAGCGTTTGGCAAATATAATCCTCGCAGCCGACACCATGTGAAGTAATAGCAGCACAAATTGTTTTTCAATGGACTTGTCCGTAAATGTAAAGAGTTTGTAGTCATTATTAAGGAGAGAGATTGGCCTGTAGTTCTTCACAGAAGTTAAATCCAGTGCATCTTTGGAAAGTATTAAAGAAATATAAGCATCCTTCCAAGAGTCTGGCGTACTAGGGTTCCCTTGTAAAACAGAATTCATGAAGTCCTTCATCGGAAGAAGTAATCGATCTTCAAAACATTTATAGAATCCACTGGATAGGCCATTTGGTCCCAAATCTGGGACCAAATGGCCTATCCAGTGGATTCTGGATAGCTCCTGTAATTGCTTCTATGATTTCAAAAGTTGTTATTGGACTGTTCAAAATTTGCTTGTAATTTTCCGATAATTTAGGAAGATTTTTAGTTGTTGTATACACTCCTCCATAGTGTCTACAGACATATAGTATAATAATTCCAAAAAAGTCTTTCAAAAGTTTTGTTATCCATGCACGTCTTATTTCTCTCTTGAAGCTTGGTTGTCATCTTCTTTTCTGTCTGTCTTCTTAGTTTGCATGCCAACCATCTCCCTGGTTTATTTGCATGTTCAAAAGAGTCATTTTGTATATTTAAGTTTCTTTTCAATATCTGAAACAGTCGGCAAAGAAAGTTGTGGTTGCAGTATTTTTAGTTGATTAGAATCTTCTGGTGAGTTGTGAGTTCTGGAGTTCCCTCTCCTTCAATTTAATTTCTTGTAACAAACAGAACAGAACAGAACAGAATATAGAATAACAGAGTTGGAAGGGACCTTGGAGGTCTTCTAGTCCAACCCCCTGCTTAGGCTATACCATTTCAGCCAAATGGTTGTCCAATCTCTTCTTAAAAACGTCCAGTGTTGGAGCATTCACAACTTCTGGAGGCAGGTTGTTCCACTGGTTAATTGTTCTAATTGTCGGGAAATTTCTCCTTAGTTCCAGGTTGTTTCTCTCTTTGATGAGTTTCCATCCGTCGCTTCTTGTCCTGCCTTCAGGTGCTTTGGAGAATAGCTTGACTCCCTGTTCTTTGGGGCAGCCCTTGAGATATTGGAACACTGCTATCATGTCCCCCCTCGTCCTTCTCTTCATTGGACTAGACACATCCAATTCCAGCAACTGTTCTTTATATGTTTTAGCCTCCAGTCTCCTGATCATCTTTGTTGCTCTTCTCTGCGCTCTTTCTAGAGTCTCAACATCTTTTTTACATCATGCTGACTAAAACTGGATGCAGGATTCCAGGTGTTTTACCAAGGCATTATAAAATGGTATTAACACTTTACGTGATCTTGATTCTATCCTTCTGCAACCTAAGACTGTGTTGGCTTTTTTGGCAGCTGCAGCACATGGCTGGCTCCTATTTAAGGGATTGTCCACTAGGACTCCGAGATCCCTCTTACAGTTACTATTATCGAGCAAGGTACCCCCTATACTATACCTGTACATTTGGTTTTTCTTACCTAAGTATAGAACCTTACTTTTTTCACCATTGAGTTTCCTTTTGTTAGATAGCGCCCAATGTTCGTCAAAATCCTCCTGTATCTTAAGCCTGTCTTCTGGAAGTCCACAGGTCTTAAAATGGCCAAGATTGAGAACCTCTGCTTACAACATGTTGTCTGATTAATTATCCACCATTGCTCAGCTGGGGAAAATGCAAAGCTGAGTGATCAAGGCCAATCCAGAAGGGGGCAGTGGATCCACACTGATTTCAGGATCCAGAAAGGGCATTTGTCTCCCAGTGAGGGAGCCCAACCAGCTGCCAAGCTTTCCTGGGACAGAAAATGCATCATTTTATGCAAAGAAGAGATAAATTGAGCTGCTGGATAACGGTCGAATTCAAATGTTTTGCAGAAGTCCCAAGCAGAAATTCCGCCTGAGAAATTCAGATTTTTCTCTCATAAACTCTTGAAGATCAGCAGATTAAAGCATAGGTTTTGTGAGGGTAAAGTTTCATTCTCCGAGCTTGTGGGTTGGTTTCCGAACGTTTCCTTACCTGACTAGGTAACATCGTCAGCAGGGTTTAGGGAAGGTCAGTGTCCGTGTTCTTATATTTAAAAGGGCTTCAGGTATGGGGGTGTCAAATGAGGGTCTTGTGATGGGTCAGGTGTCAGTCAACAGTGAGAAGCTTGTTATGGGTCTAGGACGGGGTAGGCAACCTTGGCTCTTTTATGACGCGTGGACTTCAACTCCCAGAATTCCTGAGCCAGCCATGCTGTCTCAGGAATTCTGGGAGTTGAAGTCCACGAGGCCATAGTTCCCCCATGCTGGCTCAGGAATTCTGGGAGTTGAAGTCCACGAGTCATGAAGGGACCATAGTTCCCCCATGTTGGCTCAGGAATTCTGGGAGTTGAAGTCCCCAAGTCATGAAGGGACCATAGTTCCCCCATGCTGGCTCAGGAATTCTGGGAGTTGAAGTCTGCAAGTCATGAAGGGACCATAGTTCCCCCATGCTGGCTCAGGAATTCTAGGAGTTGAAGTCCCCAAGTCATGAAGGGGCCATAGTTCCCCCATGCTGGCACAGGAATTCTGGGAGTTGAAGTCCACGAGTCATCAATAATCAAGGTTTCCTATCCCTGCCCTAAACTCTCTTGAAGGTACCTAGCCTGGTAACAAAATGTTCGGAAACCCATCCACATTTCTGGGAGGAAATGAACATATTTCTTGATGAGATGATACAGAATAGGCTAGCAATGCGGGGCTGCATTCTGACAGTATGCTAAACTACTACAGATAATCCTTGACTTACAACAGTTTGTGTAGTGACTGTTCAAAGTGACAACGGCAGCGAAAAAAGTGACAGATGACTCTTTTTTCACAGTTAGAACCTTAGCAGCATCCCCACGGTCACGTGATCAGAACTCAGAGGCTGGGCAACTGGTTCCTATTTATGACCGTTGTTGTGTGCCAAGGGTCACGTGATCCCCTTTTGCGACCTTCTGACGAGCAAAGTCGATGGGGAAGCCAGATTCACTCAACCGAGTTACTAACCTATCAACCGCAGCGATTCACTTAACAGCTGAGGTAAGAAAGGTCGAAAAATGGGGCAATACTCACTTAACAAAGGTCTCACTGAACAACAGAAATTTTGAGCTCAATTGTGCCAACCTGGGCCTCCCGACTTCCTGCCGGCTTCCCCACTGACTGCTTGGGGTAGCTGGCAGGAAGTCACCTCATGAAATTTGGTTAATGATGGGAACAGGGATATTTGGGCTTGCCATCACTAAGCAATGAGGTCACACTTTATTATCATGTCGCTTAGCAACAGAAATTCT